CATCCAAAGTCTTCAGTGAGATTTGGATGAGACTTTAGTAGCTGTGACTTTACGATGAGAGTAGGCTGTGTGACAAAATCTCTGGTTGCCTGGGAGATTTCACAGAACAATAGCATTCATAATTGCCCTCTTCTTTCACAAAGCTTAAAAGGGATTATAGAGCATGATTGGTTTGGGCTGGGAGTTGGCCTGATTTGTTTTAATGAACACCAGAAAAAGTTTTTTTTTTTTTTTTTTAAAAAAAAAGACCATGGGATTTTTTTAGAAGGCAGGATTAAAGAGAACAAATTGTCATTCCTTGCACGATTTCTAGGAAGCGAGATAAATATTATTACAGCAATTAAAACTTCCCCCAGGGCAATGAGAGGATCCTAAAATATTCAATTAGGGGATTGTCACTTCAGAATGTGCAATTAACCCATGCACCATTGGACTGTTTGCTATTTATCATTTTAGCTCCACACACCACAAACAACGATTATAGGCCACAGTGAAACTAAGTATTCAACAAAGTATTTGCTGAATTAAGGAATGCTAGGTAGCAGTTTTCCTCTCTTCTTCCCTTCTCAGTTTTGGTCTGTAAACAGAGTCCTATATACTTTTTCACAAATCCTGTGCCTTTTTATGCAAAGCAAATAGACTTTTTTTTTCATCAAGGAAAACAAATGAAGGATGTAAAGCACATCAGATATATGCAGGTCATTAAAGTTTCTCTGTTGGACTCTCATAGCAGTGGCATAATAGAGTATACAAACAAGAAAGCAAAGAAACACAAACTGTTATTTATTCTACTTTCTTCCACATTACAGATATTGATTATAAGATTAAAACCTGATATAGTTTCAGTTTACAGAGGTTAGTTTTTACTTCAGTGTGCATTCTCAGTGTGCTGTTGTTACTCCCATAAACTAAATTATGATTCCTCCAAGTTTATGGTATTAGGTGGTGGAAACTGAATATAGCAGTATCCCCCATTTGCTGAAGGGCCACCATAAGACTGAAAGCATATTTGGTGTTATACAAAGACAGACAAGAAGCTGAGAAGAAAAACCTGAATGAGATGTCATAAACATTAATGCAGTGTAATGTGAGGTATTGGACCTTAAGGCAAGGTGGAAGGAGCAGGGTGCTAGTTTCAATGTGGGGACAGGATCCCTTCCATAATCAAATACCTGGGGCTCAGCGCCAGGATTGAGAACTGAGAGGTAATGGAAAACCAAATTGAAAACTTCCAGAGAGGTTCCTCCACAGATGCGTTTAGTATGATATTTTCCTGCATATCACCGTCATGCTCCTGGGACTGAACACTCACTGATTTCCCATTTTCCCCTTGGTAGTATCAACCTACAGGAAACATCTGTTTGCAGGGAACGTCAAACCAGCCGAGGAGAAGCCAATGAGCTTCTCATTGAGCCAGAATGAGCTGACCACTTCGCCACTTCCAGGACTAACTAACTTTTCAGAAGATTTGGATATTTCCGCTTTTAATTTTCTTTAAACCATTCAGATACAGCAATAGGTTGTTCTGTCAGCATTTAAAGGGAGTAGACTACTCAGAGTAAATAGTATCACAATCCACTGTGGTTTTCACTGGTTTTGTTTATTTGTTTGCTTTTATTTTAGTTTAGTGTCTTGGTGGTACTTTCATGACAGTATGACGCAACTGTGAAGTTCAGAAAGGTGTTTAATCTCTCTCCCTCTCCTCTTCCTGTACAAGAATGGAGAGAAATACTGGAGGCTTTCTGTTATGAGAGACAGGATAAAAACTAGGGGAAAACTGGTGAAAATAGTAAAATGAAAGGACTAGAACAACTGTTAAATAAGCCCTTCTTCAGGCTTTGTGCATAATATGCACTGCAGAGACAGAATAAGAACTAGTCTTCCTAAGAATAGAGAAGTGTATAACAAGTGGGTAAAGCGGTTTCCCCTCGTCCACACAGAAATGACTCAAAAGTAAAAATGAAAACTACCTCTAATAATGGAAACTGTGGATGGGTGAAAGAAGGCAAGTGTAATGGGTAGAGGAAATTTCCCAAGAAACTTTAACATCAAGTAGCTGTTGCATGTTAGCAATTAACTCGCTATAGATAGAGATGAGTTAAACATAAGCAGGCTACCTAGAACTAGTCAATGATTATCATGTCGGTGTTACAAGGATAAAAGTGTTTGCCTCACCTCAAGCCATGAGTTTGACAAGCAAAACGCAAAAATTAGGGCACTGTACCCAATACTTAACGTGACAACACAAAGCTGGCTTTGCAGCCCCATACTTTTCCATGACCTTTGCTAGCTATGGCCTCATCTCAAGCATGAGGTGCTAGATGAGCTTGACCCATGGCAAAGCAACTACACCAGTGAATGAACACATCCCTGATCCAAAGGCCTGGGGGTGCAAAAACCCATGAAATAGGAACAGAAAAAGCCTTCTGTGAAAGGAAGAGAAAAGTGAGGAGACAGGGAGCCCATGACCTTGTTTCAGTACACCATGAACTACATGGTGTGATACCTCTATGAAACAATCATCAGGCTGTGGTGATGAAATGCAACACCACCGACACACTGCACCTCTTCGCAGTGACGTGCATTGATTGGTTCATGTACTGAGGAAGCTGTGTGATCCCACCCATCCTTGTCCTGCATGGACAGCTGTGGGCTTCCACCTCTGGCTGACACCCTTATATGGATAAAAACTTACTAGGAGCACAGCGTGTGGTTTTGATGTTTTTAGAATAATTTCTTTATGCAGTTATTGGTTGGCTGGTTTTCTGAGTGTGGGGGAGAAAGCTGGTGAGCCTGGAAGATAGTGGCAGAGGTTTTAAATTTCTGCAAGGGAAGATTTTGCAGGCTGCTCTGCAGAAAGATGAGCTCACTGAAGGGTGTACTGCGTCTCACAGAATTAAACAAGCATTGCAGTCTTCTGCACATGCTACACACAGGACTTTCTTGAATGCTTAAGTTTTAACAGCTGGTAGATGGTATAGTTTACATTTTCCCACAATCACGGTGTCTTGGTTCATCTCTCTGAGCCTTAGACATGTGAAACTTAGAGGCCCATTTGAGCTTTTCACCAAGATTACTGCTATACTCTGGTTGAAAAAGATGAGTCTCTAAAGAGCAATTCATTCCTGTTTATAAAGATACATAAACGCAAGAAGATGGATTTAGAACACATACAAATTTAGGTTTACAAAGTTGTGTGAGGGGGCTTGATGTTTCCTCACAATCAAAAGAGATTTTGAAATTGTGTGAAATCCATAATGTAACATAGAAGTGGTATTATTGCATGCAAATTATATTTGACAAACAGAGAGTATGCACTAAATCAAATAGTAGCACACCTCATTGAAATTATTCTAGATCCAAAACCACACAGTCCTTCTTTTATTAACGGATTTTTATTGACAAAGTTATATCCTTCTGCATTCAGGATGCCTGCACACTGCAGCTACAGCTTGTCTGCTCATGTGGTCAATGGTATAATGGTTTTAGACAACTGGAGGCTACATCTGGCAGAAAATCACACATGGTCCAGCTACAGTTTATTGTCACAGCCAGCTACTAGAGTTCTTTGAAATGTTGTTGCAGGCGATGATAGCAGCTAGAGACAGAAAGAGCACATTAGGGAGTGTTTAACAACTTCCCAAACGTAGTCTATTCAAGTCTTTTGTCCAACTGCACAAAAGGCAGCTGAACCACACCAAGAATCACACACACATTGCAAGTTGTAAAATCAGAAAGTTGTGATGGACACCCTCACTACAATAATTGCAGACCACACATCCAATGGCAGGAGAGAAGTAAATCAAGGTCCACAAGCAGTGGACGCAGAATCTCAGAGAGAGAGACAGAGAGAAACACAAAGTCAAAGTATTCATCCAGAATGATGTGTTTATTGTCTCTTTCTGCTCAACGGGTGTAATCTGCATGCAGTCATGTTTTTATTAAAATAAACCACACAGAGAATTGGAATGAAAATGCTGGCAGGCTCACAACAGTAATGCCCGAGTAAGAGAAATAAGATGGGACAACTTCTACAGATGCATGTGCTCTTCCATGGTGCAAACTGGTGATTTCTAGTATCAGTGCATCATGCATTTTGCCTAAAGTAACAAGTAGCTCTGAGTTAACTGAGATGAAGAACTACTAGAATTCTCTAAGCAGCAAATATGTAACTTGCAAAATACCCTTTTAATAAATACTTCAAGAAGCTATGTATTATTGTCTACAGGACTTTTTGAAGTATCTCAGAACAACACAGAGTGAGAGAAACTAATCTCTAAAAACTGTTCTAGAGTTCAATTATACATAAGTGAATAAAAATGAGCAAGAAATTAAATGGCTGTGCAAGCTGTGTTCTCGTGTGTTCAGAAACAAACATAAACATTTACACACATATATGACCAATGAGCAGCCATCTAAATCAGATGAGTAAAGTCAGCTGTCTAAACACACACAAAAATGTGAAAAGCCTTGCAGATATCTCCTGCAAAATAAAAGTCTACAATTTTAAAGCATTCATTTAAAAATGAATTCTTCCAGTTAAATAATCTATCCTTTGGGCAGTCTTACTAATATCAGAAGTTTTCATGATGTTTTCCAGTGCTTCATAATACATTTCTCTCTCTCAGTGTGTTTTTATTAAAAAGACAATTTTAAGAAAAGAATTCTTACTAAGTGTTTCCAAGCTCTTATAAAATATAAAAGCATAAAGTTTTATTAGTGCTGGTGGAAGAAAGCCAGCACAGTTAAGAAATCTGTACCAACTTGAACCTTAAGTTAAACTAAGTTACTTGGAACCTTTAACTTCCAAGGGTCTACTAAACAACCAGCAAAATACAGTGCCTGTTTCCCTCCTAAGTCAGAATTGAGCTTTCAACCACCTTAAGTTCAAAAAATTGCTGTCTGATTGCCTTGGTGCAACATTTGTTAAGCATTTAAATATTACAAGCACAAACACAATAGCATTCAGCATATACAACAAACCTGAAACAGATACTTACAGGAAGCAATATTAGTCCAGGAGGCTGAACACAAGATCATACTAAAATGAAAGGAATAATGAATGTCACTGACCTGGTAGTCTCTGGTTTAAAAAGGCTGGCAGAGAAAGAAATCCAATGAGTGGGCGACAGAGGGAGGGAGGGAGAGAGAGAGAGAGAGAGAGAGGGAGAGAGATGAAATTCCAGTCTTTTTGGTCAGCTTGTCTGTAGTTTCCTTTGTACTAAAATTTGACAATAAACACTCTCTACTGGCAAGACTGTTCCTGGCTGCAGAGCCCCAGAGTACAAATGCTTTTGGGCTCCCTATGATAAGGGCATTCTGAGATGCCTTGCAGTGTTTACACTCAGCAATGCCTCTCTGGCAGCCAGCCCCGGATCTTCCCTTCCCCTTCTGCTAGTTAAATCTGTTGGGACTAGAAACTGAGCTCCTGTGAATAATGCTTGCTCATTTTTTCTCCCCACTTCTGCTGGCTTACTCCCTGCTACACACACACACAGACACACACGCCAACTTATGCATGTATTAAAGACTCAGAGAAAGTTGCGAGTTAAAATATTTTCAGATCATCCAGTTTTTCCTCACAAAAAAGGAGAAACTCTTTAATGAAATACAGATGTGATTAATTTCCTTCCTAGTATAGTAGCATAGTTTAGTTTGATCTTATTTGAGGTTGGGTGATGAAATTAAAATAAGTAAATTATCTATTTGATTGTGAAGTGTATTGCATGTGTGATACTTCTTAGAAGCTCAACTGTTCAGTTGACTGTGGTTCAAAATCCTTTTGCATAAGAAAGTATAAAGTATTCAAATTAACACAGTACAGGCCAAATCCCAGCAATGATTTAATACCTCAAGATACCCCTCCAGCTTTCTGAAACCAGCTTTGCATCAGATTTGTAGATTTGACTGGCTTGTTCCTGGAAGTCTGTAAAATGTGCTACCACATTCTGGCTTGTTCCTGAGAAGTATGCTCAACTGTGCACATTTTGAGTGCAGAGGCTACATTGCAAAGTCACCTTTCTCAGCATTGCCAGGGACAGACCACCTTATTACCATTGCAACACTTGAGCCAGAACCATTTTTTAGCATAGGAGTCACAAATGTTTTTAGCCCTGTGATGGGAACATTGCTACAAGTCAAAGGGGCATGTGGGGAAGGATTGCTGACTCCCCTGTGTAAGCAGGGGCCAAATCCAGCACGAATGTAACAGGCCTAAAATCACCTCCTCTTGCAGGCTGACTTTAACCTTCATATGGAAACAAAACTGCAGTATAGAAACACAAAACAGCAGCAGTATAGAAGAAAAGAACCAGCAGATGTTCCTGTGCCATGATGTAAAGGCAAATGAAGAAAACAGACAACTGTTAAAAGTTAAGACTCAAAGTTACGCCATGCGTTATGTGCTACAACATGGGCTATAGTCACTTACGAAAAAATACTAGACAAAAAAGCCTCCTTCAGGAACAACAGTAGTATCAGAGTGGTATAATGTCCAGGTTTTCAGACCTTGTAGAAATCCTTGGATTTCATAAAGTTTCAGAACGTTCACTTGGAACAAGTATTTAGCTTCTGTGAGCCATGTAGCTGACTATAATTTGTATGTTTGTGTTTGTGTTTACTGAAGTGTGGCTTCTAACTCACTGTGATGAATGGATGGTTTGTTTGTTCCATACACTGGTCTGGTTGGGTTCAACAACATAACTATACTTACAGGCTGGTAGAAAAAGTGGTGGCTTGTTTTGAATTGTAACTTCTTTAACCCATTAATCCACAGCATAATTACAGAAGCTCGTTTCAAAACAGATTGATTACTCCAACAATGAACATGGCCTTCTATTTCTTATTGTCATCCTTAACTATGATTGATTTTTGCAGTCTATCAATGTCACATTATCTAAAGAACGGATTAAAATTACCAAAGTTTTTCTTGAGAAATGCCTCAGCACTGAAAAGAATACACGTCTTCTATATATACACTTTCACTTCTTATTTCAACATTTGTCCACACGGGAAAAAGAATAGGTCAGTTTCCTGTGAATTAAACTTAAGCACAGTGTATATCCCTCCTTAATTTACAGATAAAATCTTACAGCCCAAACTGTTGATATGAAGGTAATCATTCAGCTGTTGTCTGTAAACTGTCTGTAACAGGGTATATTCATAATCAGTACCATTCTTTTCTGGCTTTTATCTGGAAAGTAGCATGTGTACCTGAGGCACAAAACAGGCAAGAATGCATAGACAGAGAGAGCAAACTCTTCTCTTTCCTTTCACCTCACATTACTAAGCAACAGCCTAAACTATTAACAATGTCTAGAACTGTAAAGAACATGCTGATCTGCACAGTCAACACTCCTGCCAGGAGGATGAGGTTCTCAAAACAACGAAAGTCTCATGCTTATCTGAAACCTGAAGGTTGCACACTGGAAGATCTGCTGAACTGCGGGGAAAAAACAGAAATGACTATTTCCTGGTATTTATAACATGGCAGAAATTCTATTCTGTGAGCAGCACCACCAGGCTGCAGCAGTATCTTCTGTCCCACTCTTCACTCTGTTGAGGGATGCGGAGAACAGAATGAAAGATCATGTTTAAAAGGGCAAACATTAAATCTACCTTATTCTCCCTCTCCTGATTGTATATCCTCTGTCTACAAAGATTCACTGTACTCCTGGTTACCACAAACGTGGGAAGATTCAATCAAAGTACACTGAATTATTTTCTTTCTAAACATGAAAGTACAAGATCAACAATGCAAAGTGAGACAATGAACAGGAAATTAAGATACACTAACAGACAGCTGATTCTGACAGGAGCCTATCAGGTAGCCTTGAATGGGGACTTGCCTACTTGCTCCCAGGACCAAGCTGAATTTATTTGTAAGAACATTATAAATGAATTAATTAATAAAAATAAATAAATAATAATAATAATAAAAAGACAAACAAACAAACAAACAAAAAAAAAAAAAAAAAAAAAAAAAAAAAAAAAAAAAAAAACAGCTTCTACAGAACAAACAAGTATAATTTGGGGCTGCCACCAGACTGTGGCTGGATCCCCTGTCAGGGGCTTCTTTACAACAGCAGGCACTATCACCACAACAAGGAAGGAACATTTGTCTTCATCCACAGTAACCCAGCATTCAGACAAGAAGTTAATAATGAAATTCGTAATGCAACTGTCTGCTGGATATTTTCCCTCTTTATTTAAAGCATTTAGTAGATCACTACTAAGTAAATACTATACAAGATACTCCTTTGAGTTTTCTCATAGAAGACTAAGTGTCTATTGGTTATCAGGTATGGCCAAGCAAGAAATATGCCCATTTTTCATGGTACAAAAGAATTAACATGTGTATCACAACAGAGGAGATGGTCCTTGCTTCAGGGAGTGCAACCAATTCCTCCTCCACTTCTGAGACACAGAAATACATCATCCAAGACCAGAAAAAGCCTCTCTGCTTGTCACTCACAGTCTCTGAGCGGCAGTGATGGAGAGGTTGCTGTAGTAGCAAATTGAATAGAGCGCTGCCTAGTCAGATTAATGACAGTCTGCAGACACCCCATACACACAGCCAGCATATCCTCAGAATTTGGAACATAGTCCTGGACAGTTCTGGTGACTTTCTTAAAGAGCCTGGCAGGAAGAAGATCTGGGTGACACCAACCCCCTTACATAAGCATGGGCATGCCACAAGGCAGCTCTTGAGATTCAGTAGCATAGATACATGAACATTGTTTCTGGCTCTATGCCACAAAACCATTCTTAAGTATTTCGAATTTAGAATAGTTTAGTTGGAAGGGACCTACAAAGACCATCAAGTCCAACTGCCTGACCACTTCAGGGCTAACAGAAAGTTAAAGCATGTTAATGAGAGCATTATCCAAATGTCTCTTGAACACTGACAAGCACAGAGCATCAGCCACCTGGCTAGGAAGCCTGCCCCATTGTCTGACCACCCTCAAGGGTGTTTCCTAATGTTTCCTAATGCCAGCCTGACCCTCCCCTGGTGCAAACTCGTGCAGTTCCCTTGTATCATTGGTTATCATAGGTTATCACAGAGAAGAGACCAACATCTCCATGCCCATTTCCCCTCCTTGGGAAGTTCTTAATAAACAAAAAGACTGGAAATTACTTTTCATCAGCATTACTGAGTCTGATGTGGCATAGAAGGGTTTAACTCTCTCTATAATCAATAATACGAGTGTCAAGTAACACAGACTTCTATACAAACAGCGTGACAAAGGTTTCTCAGCTAATGAGTCTAAAAGGATAAGACATCATGCTGTTGACATTTCTTCACTGATAAGTATCAGAAAATATTCCTTTCAAAAAGACCATTGTAATAGGAACTTGGCAGTATTTTAAAGAATCTCTCAGGTGCCTAAGATGATATTTTCATTTCTGGTGACAAACAATTGACCTCTTAATTTATGAACCATGATATTGCTGTGTTGTCTGGAAAAAAAAAAAAAAAAAAAAAAAAAAGAGAGAGAGAGACCATGTAGCTGTGATCCAAAGTCAGATTTAACCCACATACACTTCCAATAAACTGCTAGAAAGGCAAGCTGTTAACCTTCAGGGAATGAAGGAAATTACTATAGACCCAAACCACTGACAACAGTCACTTACTGAATATGAGGAAGCTTGTATATACCCTACTGCAAAGCTTCAAACCAGAATATACTGTTAGTTCATTCAGGTTACATTTACAGTTCTAGTTTTGTTTGAGGAAAGAGCTGGGAGGATCTCTCTGCTAGCACAACTGCCCTGACTTTCAACTTATTTTTAACAGGTAATGAGCATGGGCAGGACATACCAGCATGTTAAAATGCTTGCCAGATTGAGTGTGACAACTACAGTTAGATATTCTTGATACTGATTTCAACTCAGAAGTTTTAGTCCAGCTGCATGGAAAGCATTTTTTAACTCAGTTATCCTATCAAATGAAAACTCTGCTTACTTCAGTCATCTTAAATGATTTGATTTGTTGAAGCCTAAGTCATATCAAGGCCATTTGAAGCCATTATTGGTCTTAAAGAGTCAAGGTGTGTGCTTGTACAACATTGAGATTCTCAGCTGGAATATACTAGACACAATTAAAATGCTATTTATTTCACGTATCATGGCAAATGGTTCATTTATGTTTACTAAGGTAGCTCCCTAAGTTAATGTTGTATTTTGGTTAAAGAACAAAGGAAAAAAAGAGAGACAAGATGCTATTTTTGCCTACTATTACATCAAATAAAAGGTGGTGGTTTTGTTTGTTTGTTTGTTTATCAAGCTGGTGATCTACATGAATCCTTCTTTGAATAAGGTCAATTTTTCTGCAAAATCTGACATACCTGCAAAGCCTTCCTCTCCTAAACTGTCTATATCTA